GGGAATTTTTTTTTAAAATCTTTGAATCTTTTTAAATCTTTTAAATCTTTTAAATCTTCTCAAGTACAACAAAGCCATTTGTTATATTGACATGGAAGCATCATCAGGCCCCCCCTCCCCCCCTCGGTCTTTTCAATACTGAACTGATTGTGCTTTTGCTTAGCCAATGTGCTCAGGTGAGCGATGTGGCCCATGGGCCTCTTGTTTGCAAATAGGTAGGTAGTTTTTTGAAAAATGGGTGGACGCTAAACAGAGAAAAAACTTGAAATGGCCTAATTGAAGTTGATATAGAAGCATTCTCAGGTATTGTAGATTCAAGTTTGTTCAAATCATGACCCCTGGGGGTAGGGTGGGGCCACAATAGACGATCAGAGTTTTACATAAAAATATAGAGGGAAAAAACTTTTAAAAATCTTCTTCTCAAGAACAGCAAAGCCATGTTTAGTCATATTGAAAAGGAAGCATTCTCAGGTACTGTAGATTCAAGTTTGTTCAAATGATGACTCTCGGGGGTAGAGAGGGGCCACAGTGAGGGATCAATGTTTTACATAGAAATATATTGGAAAAAAATCTTTCTCTCAAGAACAGCAAAGCCATGTTTAGTCATATTGATATGGAAGCATCCTCAGGTAGTGTAGATTCAATTTTGTTTAAATGATGACCCCTAGGGGTAGGGAGGGGCCACAATGGGGTATCAAATTTTTACAAAAGAATAGAGAGGATAAAAATCTTTAAAAATCTTCCCCTCAAGAACAGCAAAGTCATTTGTTATATTGATAGGAAAGTATCCCCAGGTAGTTTAAAATTCAAGTCCCCCCCCTCCCCCATGTAAACTTTTCAATACTGAACTGATTTGTACTTTTTCCTAGCCAATGTGCTCAGGTGAGTGATGTGGCCCATGGGTCTCTTGTTTTTAAAGTTGTGCCCCATAAGGCCTAAAAAAAAAATTTGTGTGTTTCGGGTAACCCGACCTAACCTATAAAAATGTGCCGATCCTAACATTTTTTTTGATGTCCGTATTTATCCGAATAAAATTCCTATCATTTCTATGTAAAATCCGTTTTTATCAGAATATTTTTTCTCATTCCTAAGAAACGTCTTTAAAACGCTTAGGCTCTTAGTGAACATTTACGATATTTAAATAAACATGCAAGCAATTTTATGACGGGACCGACAGCATGAAATGGGAAATCTTTTCGATAATTTTGACACAGATATTTCTATAATTTAAAAGTTTTGTGACATAGCTGAAATGGTATTGGTTTGTTGTGTTTCGATTACATGTTCGACCCGCGTGGTTTCGTACCTGAGTTGCATATGTATATGCCAATGTGTATACAAGCACACAGGTGAATTAACGTATGAACCAATGTACGTGTGTGTACAAACACACAGGTGTGTAGGAAACATACTGGTGTACGGTAGCTGTCAGTAGAGAGTAAATGGCTTAATAGATGTACGTGTCAATTAGATTGATGCTGTCATACAAACAGCACGAATAATGAATAAGTACTTAAAATATATTCTATCTAAGTATCTTTCAAAAAGATTTTTCTTAAAATCATAGATTTTGATGAATTTGTGTTAGAATATTTTAGATGGTTTTTTTTTTCTTCATAAAACAAAGCCTGTATGAATGTTTTGGAAAGAAGTAAACAATACAGATAATTTACATTAACACAATGTTATAGCCTTCTTTGAATATCGAAAACCTTCACTGGTATAAAATATTATTGCTTCAAAATTACAATAATAAATTGTATAAATATAGATGATATTGTTCTGAATTCAAACTGATAATATTTTTGACCAAGTTTCAGACTATTGTGATTATATGTTACAAATCTTGCATTTTCACGAGTATTTTACTTGTGGTATTGTACATCTTTCATTTGTAACTTCATGACAGATATGATTAATATTCTTTCATATTACAATATACTTTAATATTATTTAAATATAATCATACTGAAATAATTGTATATGCCCCCTGAGGACCCTTGATTGGTGAATAAACATATAGATATATATAATAATTAAAACCATCCTAATCAGTTAATGATTAAGAATATGTGATTTGTGTAAAATGAAAGTTTTTTCTTGCAGAAGAGATCTGAATAAAGAATTTTAAATTATCCATTAACTGCCATCGTTTCGATTCAGAACAAAACCACTGGATCGTACCCACAACTTGACAAGGGTCGAACTCGTATTTGGAACTTAACCGCTTGCATTTACTGAAATGAAGAGAAAATGGAAAAAAATAAAATGATATGAAACTCTGTAAAATTTAGTTGTCTGATGTTTTTCAAACATGTTGGAGTTTAATATAATATAAAATTATATTCTTATTATTTTCTATTTACATTTCAGTGGTCAGAAATAAATTTAAAAAAATTCCAAAAAAAAAAAAAAATTCCCTACCTACCTACCCTATTTTTTTTAGGTCACCTGAGTCACTCAGGTGACCTATTGCTATCTGTTTTCATCCGTCGTCGTCCGTCGGTCGTAAACTTTTGAACATTTTCAGCTTCTTCTCTTGAACCACAGAACCAATTTCAACCAATTTTGGCATATAGCATCAATGGGTGAAGGGGTACAAAAATTTTGAATTTCATGGTCCCTGCCCCCCTGGGGCCTGAGGGGTGGGGCTAAAACCATCAAAATTAGTGCTATCTTCAAAAATCTTCTTCTTTACTCCTGGACATCAAGCAGTCAAACTGTTGGCATGATTGTAATAAGCATTGAGCCCTCTACCAAAATTGTGAAATTCATGGCCCCAGGGTCAGGGGTTCTGGTGCTAGGGCGGGGCTATATAGATCATATAGTGAAAGCGCATTATTTCTTTGAAAATCTTCTTCTCTACTCCTGGGTATTATTTAAACAAATTTAATACATAGTTATGATAAGCAAGAGTGACTCTACCTAAATTGTGAAATTCATAGCCCCAGGGTCAAGGGTTCTGGTGCTAGGGCAGGGCTATATAGATCATATAGTGAAGGTGCATTATTTCTTTGAAAATCTTCTTCTCTACTCCTGGGTATTATTTAAACAAATTAAATACATAGTTATGATAAGCAAGGATGCCTCTTCCAAAATTGTGAAATTCATGGCCCAAGGATCAGGGGTTCTGGTGTTAGGGTGGGGCTATATAGATCCTATAGTGAAGGTGAATTATTTCTTTGAAAATCTTCTTCTCTGCCCCTGGGTATTATTTAAACAAATTAAGTACATAGTTTAGATAAGCAAGAGTGACTCTACCAAAATTGTGAAATTCATAGCCCCAGGGTCAGGGGTTCTGGTGCTAGGGCGGGGCTATATAGATCATATAGTGAAAGCGCATTATTTCTTTTGAAATCTTCTTCTCTACTCCTGGGTACTATTTAAACAAATTAAATACATAGTTATGATAAGCAAGAGTGACTCTACCTAAATTGTGAAATTCATAGCCCCAGGGTCAAGGGTTCTGGTGCTAGGGTGGAGCTATATAGATCATATAGTGAAGGTGCATTATTTCTTTGAAAATCTTCTTCTCTACTCCTGGGTATTATTTAAACAAATTAAGTACATAGTTATGATAAGCAAGGATGCCTCTTCCAAAATTGTGAAATTCATGGCCCAAGGATCAGGGGTTCTGGTGTTAGGGTGGGGCTATATAGATCCTATAGTGAAGGTGAATTATTTCTTTGAAAATCTTCTTCTCTGCCCCTGGGTATTATTTAAACAAATTAAGTACATTGTTATGATATGCAAGGATGCTTCTTCCAAAATTGTGAATTTCATGGCCCCAGGGCCAAGGGTTCTGGTGAAAAGGGGAGGGGGGGGGGGGGGAGGGGGGCTCTATTGATTATATAGTGAAAAAGCAAAATTTCTTTGAAAATATTCTTTTCTGCTCCTGGTTAAAAAGTAAAGAAGCTAAGTGTATAGTTATGATGAGCAAGAGTGCTTCTTCCAGAGTAGTGAATTGCATGACATCTGGGTCAGATGTGCTGGTATAAGGGTGGGGCTCTTGATAATATAGTGAAAATGCATTAATTCTATTAAATAATCCTGTCTTCTCTTAGTGTTAAGCAGATAAACAAAGTGATTACTTATGATGAGCAAACTTCTGGTCCCAGGGTGAGAGAATCTGGTGTTTCTCGCTGGGGAGGGGGGGGGGGAGCTCTATTGATAATATAGTGAATCTGTAATAAAAATGCATTATTTCTTTAAAAATCTTCGCTGCACCTGGGCATATCAGAGGCAAAAAGAGTAAAAGTTTTAATAAGGAAGGGTATTTTTACCAGATTTTTGAACATCTGGACCATTTGATCACGTGTTCTGGTCCTGGCCAGGGCTCTAATAATTTGTATTCTACTGAGAGGAGTTATTCCCCTTTGCCATTTACTTTTGATAATTAATCACTTCAAATAATGTACTTGAAAGGTTAATAGAATAAGAGAATTATGCAAGAATATCTATTGTATAATACAAAAAGTACTTTCATAGTTTTAATGATCAGGTATACTTGTAAGTAATAGATAAATAAAAATGAGACAAAAATAACTTGTCTTTTTAAATGTTCATCAAAGACCAAGGGAAGCCAATGTAAGAGATTTCAACAAGGAATTAAAATAGTACAGAAGCACTGATAGTTTGCTAAAATACTGTATGATGATTAGTGATAAATGGGGAACAGATTAGAATATAATTTATGAACTGTTAATGAATACTAGACTAATTATTTTGTTGATCCTGTTCACCCTATTTTTCTTGCTTTTGGGCAACAAAGCTTCACCTTTCAGTTCATTTTATACTCTATGGATTCTCTAAATTGTTGTATTATACTCAGGTGACCGTTAAGGCCCTTGGGCCTCTTGTTTCATCAGTGTTACCCGAAACACACAATTTTTTTTTTAGGCCTAACTGAAATTGGTTTCTACAGGCCCATAGAATGTAGCTTATTAAAATTTTATACCTGCTTGTAATACTGCTTCAGCTTACTCTCTTTATTTTCACAGTAAAGGAATTATGTGTTACCTACAGTTTGGATGCTGAAAGAGTAGCAGCTGAGTGGATTGCATTTTCAAATGTCAGGAAAAATCTCACAATCTCTTTGGAAAACTTGGATGTATTTGATAGAGAGGTAACTTGGTCAGCTTTTAGCTCACCTGAGCTGAAAGCTAAAGTGAGCTTTTCTGATCACAATTTGTCTGTCGTCTTTCTGTCTGTCTGCAGGGTTTTTAGCTCACCTCAATAAAGTTGGGGAGAGCTTATGTAATACCCTCGGCGCCGGCGTCCCAAGTTAAAATTTTTGGAGCAAATTTCTTTCCAAGTAGTTCTATGCTCTATATTAATCCAAGATGCATGGAAGATGCTTCTAGTATGTTTCATTGTACCTGTCAAGGTTTCAGGTGCTGCAATTTCAGCTGAAGAATGACCAGGTTAATGTTTTTGGAGCAGGTTAAAGTTCTTAGAGCAGGTGAAAGTTTTTGGAGCAGGTCTCATTTCCAGGCAACTACAGGGGTTGAAATATATGGTAGCCCGACACCCAGGGCTAGTCATTTTAAGGGTTGGGCTAGCTAATTTAAATATAATGATAGTCCATCGGACTTGCAGAATGGAAAAAAAATCTCAACAGACAACAGTTTACTCTCACTTCTTTGTAGAGTGGTTTCATTAGACTGAGAACTAGATTGTAGTTTAATTTGTTTCTGTCACCACAGCCTGCAAAACTTTTACTTGTTATGTTTTCATTTTGCATGAAAAAGTTGTTGGGCTAGTTAGTTTGAGGTTTGGGCTAGTAGTTTTTTACTGGTTAGTGGTCCCTGGGCTAGTGGGTTTTCCAGGAAATTTTCAAACCCTGAACTATAAGCTCTGTGTAGACCAAACTTGCATGGATGATACATCTAAGGATGCACATCACCAGGCTTGCTTCAAATGCTGGATCTGACCTACACTTTCCAATTGAGTGACCAGGTTAAAGTTTTTGGAGCAGGTTCTCATTTCCAAGTAACAATATGCCCTATATTGACCAAACTTGCATGGATTATACATCTTACGATGCACACTACAAGACTTGCTTCGGATCCTAGACCTGACCTACATTTTCCAGATGAGTGACCAGGTTAAAGTTTTTGGAGAATGCCCATAACCCAGAAACTATAAGGGCTATCTGAACCAAACTTTAATGGATGATGCATCATGGAATGAACACTCTCAAACTTGCTTCAGATGCTGGATTTGACTTACATTTTCTGGATGAGTGACTAGTTTAAAGTTTTTAGGTAAGTCCATTCCCAAGTAACTGCAAGCCCTATCAGACCAAAATTGCATAAGTGTTACATCTAGGGATGCACACTACTAGATTATTAGTTTGGGGCTTTGCCTTACTTAAAGACAACAATTGTTGAGGTGAGCTCTGTAATCTCTAATTACTTAAGGTTTTTTTAGGGGCTGTAGGAGGCCTGTATTCTGCCCCATTCCTGATGGTAAAAATTGTGTTTTTTTCCAATTTCATGAAAGAGAATTCCCATACAAACAAATATCACTAAAAAATGTCCGAACTCATTAACCAGTAACATGTATATCAGGATTGGTGTTCAAAAAAAAAAAATCTAAAATGCATGCTCCAAAAATAGAAAGTCAATAGGGTGAATTCACCATGCATCGGACACCCTTGCACTTCAACAAGTTCTAGTGATATCGCTACCGACCGAATATTATCAAAATGGAACCTAACATGTAGTATGTGGTTAAAATATAAATTTTTGACACAATCGTGCCCTATTTATTGAGAAAATATCATTAAAAACCGATTTTTTCGAAATAAGTCAGAATTTACCATGGATCGGACAATGTTCACCATGCATCGGACATACGATATTTAAACCAGAAAAATATCATACCTTGAACTTGGTGCTTTAAAATTAGTGATATCGAAACATTTTTATCTTTTATTTAAAAATTAACCTTCTAATTAAATTTGAATGACTATTTCGATCCTCAAATATGAAGAGATTTTAGTTGCATCACATTGCCTCAGAAAGGCTTTACAATGCTAGTAATATGGCAACTCGCGCCTTTGTCTCGTGGTTTATCATCATCTAGTTTAAAGAAATAAACTGAGTCCACTTCTAGTCGTCATATATCGATAATTTGTATTTTCACTGAAAATTTAGAGTTTCTAATTTCTATCTCCGTAAAAAACAGCTGTCACTTGGGTTTTACATGAAAATGGAAGTGATTACCCATGCATCGGAAAGTGTCCGATGCATGGTTAATTTGTGTCCGATGTACGGTGAAATAAACAAACTAGTTAAAAACAACTCTAAAAAATATTATACAAACATTGAGGTAAAATTTTTGAAAAATTTCTGTAAAATTATCAATCATTGACAAATTATACACAAGTCTGACCCGTTCCTTTGACGTCTATTTAAAAGAACGACAACTCTAAAAATTGCAAAATCATAAAATTCTGGTTACTCCCCTTTGATGATGCAAAATATGACGTAATTTCAAGGCCATTCTTGTGGTATTTTTATCACAAGATGAAAATAAAAATCGGCATCATTAAAAAGTTTAATTCTTCACCTTTAAGACAGAAACAAGTAAAAACACGGGGAGATTCAGGTTCAATGAATGTTTATTGCTTAAAGTTGTCCGAAGCAAGGTATGTGTCCGATGCATGGTTAACTCACCCTAAAAACCTTGCAAATAAAACAAAAACTCTTATTTGAATTTATTTAGAAAGATTAAATATGATATTTTCTCCAATATCAACAAGATGTTGCTATTTTTGCCAAATTGAAAGGTTTTAAAACCAAAATAAACCCCATTTCATATTTTAGATTTCTTTTCAAGAACCACTAGGCCAATTTTAGCCAAAATTGGCATAAAACATAATTTGTTCAAGGGAATTCTAAATTGTTCATATAAAGGGCCAAGTTCTATTTTAAGGGGATATAAGAAAAGGCAAAAATAGGACGGATTCAATAAAAAAAAAATCTCAAGAACCAATGGACCAGTATCTCCTCTGTGAAAGCTTGCTGAGGTATTGTAGATTATCATGGCCCAGGTGGTAGGGTGGGGCCACAATAGGGGATCAAAGTTTTACATTGAAATATATATATAGGGTCAGAAGAGATGAAACTTAAGTAAAAGCTTTCTAAGGTGTTGCAGATTTTAGATTATTCAAATCATGGCCTCCAGGGGAAGGGTGGGGCCACACAGAGAATCAAAGTTTTACAATAAAATATAAAGGAAACTTCTTTAAAAATCTTCCTTCTCAAGAACCATTGGGTTAGAAGAGAGAAAAGTTATGTGAAAGCTTCCTGAGATATTGTAGATTAAAATAGTTCAAATCATGGCCTCTGGGGGTAGGGTTTGGGCCACTATAGGGGACTGAAGTTTTGCATGGGACATTATAGGAAATAGATTTTGAAAATCTTTTTCAAGACCAACAGTTGCACCATTCATCATGTTCATTTGCCAATATTGCCAAGTTGAGTGGATTTATTTTTTTTTTCCATTACGTACAGTGGATTAGAGTTAGGCCAAACAAAAAAATATGTGTGGTTCTGGTTACACCTCCAAAAAAATTAGGGTAGGTAGGTAGGTATTTTTTTTTTTTTTTTTTTTTTTTAAACAAAATAATTTTCTTAATTTTTCTAAATAATACCTATCACTGCTTTGCAAGTGGCATTTAGATGTGGTGTGATAATATACTAGTCAATATTGGTAGGGGACACCTACATGCTAGCTTTCTTTGGATTTAACACAATTAAACACTTGCACTATGTTTTGCAAGGAGGCCGTCATTGCTGAAACTAAAACTTAAACCAGAGCTATTGATGGAAATCGGGGAAAATTCCGGAAAAAATATGAAAATTGCCAAAAAAAAGTTTAGGGTAGGGGGTATAAAATAGGGACGGTCGGGTAACCGGAACCACATATATTTTTATATTTGACCTTAGCTAAAGTAGGGATAATTAAAATTTTTCGTAATGCATGTATACAAGAAAAGAATTTTCTTTTCTTTTACTGCAAGGCCAAGTTAATCATAATGATATTGAAGCATTCCCATGTGTGGATTGAGAGACCTTTAGAGTTAGAGTGGGGCTATGATATGGGGTCACAATTTCATGTGAATATATAAATCTTCTTTGAAAATCTGATGAAGAAAAGCAGAGTTTGTTACTCAGGTGAGTATTGTGGCCTTTGGGCCTCTTGTTTATCTTTTACTGAGCTTGGCATCAGACCTTACCAGTATGAATCAGAAGCCGATTCTGATGAAAAAAAATTCAGATTACAAAACAGGCTACAGGCTATCGAATATGATTGTAAAATTTAGAGAGCTCTTTTTTTGTATTAGAAAATGAGATGAATTCTTCAGTGCTTTTTGTAGTTTTATCTAAAAAAAAAAAATGTGTAGCAAGGATAAGACACATTTACGTAGAAACACTTGAGTAGAAAAGAATCTGTAACATAAATTGTACTTGCAGAAACTAGCAAAGAAAATGCAGAGAACTCCCCAGACTCCTTTGACTAAGAAGACGCAGCAGAGAGTGTACAATATTGACAATGTATCAGAGGGGTAAGTAATGACAACTTTACTGTGACTAAAAAAGGATAAAGGACTGTCCAGTACATAAATGATGTCTTTTTTTTTTTTATATGATGGCTATTTTATTCATTAAATATTAATTTATTATTCACCATTTAAGGACCATCTTTGTCCAGCAACTAAATAAACATCATCCAGTACTATAATCACCTAATAAGTGTTAAGGGTGGTTGAAATAATTAAGAATACTGGGCAGTTATTAGATCAACCTTTAATAAATTACCTTGCAACTGAAATGGGGGATAAAATTTAAAACACTAAAAAATGTCCACTCCCAAAAATTTTCTTTGTGAACCTGTTTAAAAATATAATTGATAAATTGAATAAAAGAGAAATGTAATATATTTAGTTACCTATTAATATTTTACTGAAGGAGGTAATGCAGGATGCCATTAGTTAAAATGTTAAACAAATGGTACCTGGAAATTAGGTAAATCATACAAAAAATAATAATACATGATACATTAAAAGTAAATTAGCAGAAACTGGAAGTTTAAAACACATTTTTAGCTCACCTGAGCTAATGGCTCAAGTGAGCTTTTTTGATCACATATTGTCTGGCATCCGTCTGTCTGTGAACTTTTTACATTTTAGATGTCTTCACAAGAATCACTATTAGTTCTATTCTCTAATGGGAATGATAAATATATTTAACATTCAAAATTGGATTGAGATCGGCATGTTTTGTATTCTCTGCTACATTATGCTGTCACAGTCAGACGACAAAACACGCCTCTAATTTGATGGAAATGAAAAGTATTGCACAATATTTGAGGGGCGTATCATGCTGTGGCGGGGCACTTTATTTGAATGATGGACAGACAGAACAGGACACACAGACAAAAGACAGTTACAATATGCATAAATAACTGCACCTCAACCACTTTGACACCGAAAACGGGGGACCACAGTTCTTTGAATTTGCTTGTTATATTCTGAATTTCAAAGCATTTCATAAAATATTATATAATTTACAGCTATAAAAAATATAAATTGATCATTTAATGCATTGCGTGCACACAAAACGACCTTAAGTTTGTCCCACACAACATGCCTATTAATCCTAAAAATATTTCAACTCAATCAGATGAGTAGTGTCTGAGAACACCTGTGGATAAAAAAAGTACTGGAGAAGAAATTTGAAAAAGTAAAACAATATGTTTGTATACTTTGTTTGAAGAGCATAAATATTTTACTTAGAATCCCACACATTTATAGGCTACCCTTGAATCACATTCGATTTTGAATGCTTTAAACATGTGACCACAAGAGTATGAATTGACAAGTCTATTTTGGATTAATTTATGAACCAAATGAGTCAAGAATTATTGCATAGTTGTCTGCTCCAAATCCGCTAAAATATGAAGCCTGCTTTTTAAAGTACACACAAGTAGTTTCCCATTTCAGAATAGACAAATTTCGTTTAAAAATTATAATACTGTGAAATTAGTTATTTTTGTAGGGTCAAATTTTCATGGTTTGAGGAAAATATATGGGTTCAAGGGAATTTGCTTTCATGGTAGAAGGAAAAACTTTATATTGTTTTGTAGAATTTCAACATTTTGTGGAGGACCTGAATTCTTAGTTCTTTTCTTGCCACAAAATTCACAAAAATTAAACTCCATAAACATGATAAAATTAGTGAATTTACCATATATTTGAAACACTGCAATATGTACTGTGATATGGTATATCACAATACTCTTCAGTTGATTAGTTATGAACACCAGTGAAGAGCACAACCAAGGTTGATGTGGGCTAAAATCAGAGTTTTACATAAGGCATGTATACCACTGTATGCAAAAAAAAAATCTTCAAATAAGCAGAACCATGTTAGTATTATTGATATTGAAGCATCATAATGTTTGTTTTTTTTTTTTTTGGATTCAAGTAAATAATTTAGTTTAAGCAGCCCCTTGGAATTTTTTGGGGCCACAATGTGGGATCAGAATTTTCATGGAAATAAAGAGGGAAAATTATATTTTGACAATTTTCCTACAAGATTTAGGTTCTTCAGGTGAGCATTGTGGTTCATGGGCCTCTTGTTTAATTACAGGGTAAACATCCATGATGCTGAAAATTTGTACAATACGTATGGAGGTACACCATCATCAAAGGTATGTTTGAGTCTCTGGAGTGAGTTTAGTGATCTAGATAAATATGCAGTTGCTCTGTATTACGTACTTTGTACAAAATAAGAGTAATTAGAGGAGTCATTATCACTAACATGGCTTGGTTGACTAATCACAATCTTGAATTGAGCAATAGCCCATTACTGACTAATATAATTCAGGCTTGGATTTCTCGAAAAAAACTTAAGTTAAATCTCAGACTTAAGTCTGAGTTTTTACTCAAATTTCTGAGAAAAATCTCAAATTTGAGAAAACTCAAAATATTGCATTTCTCGAAAAAACTTAAGTTCTTTTTCTTACTTAAACTGAGAAAAAACTTAAGTTACCTTGTTAGTAAACTTAAGTCCTTAAAAGAATCTCAAACATGGCGGTGAACAACCGACGGCAGCGTCGTAGACGTCGACATAGACAGAGAGTTGCTCACAACAGGCTTGTTGACTGTGAAAATCCTTTAGAATTAATGCCAGAGGAGGAGATTTTCAAACGGTATCGTTTCCGCCCGGACACAATTTTGTTCGTGGTGAATTTATTAAGACGATTTCTCGAGAGAGACACTCTGCGAAGCTGTGCCCTCACCCCCCTTCTGCAGGTTATGGCCACACTGAGATTTCTCGCCACCGGAGGTTTTTATTCCTTTGTAGCCGATACATTTGACAGCCTGTCCCCATCCACTGTGTGTAGGGCGGTTAAGGATGTGTGTCATGCTTTGTGTCAGATGTCACGGCAATTTATAAGGATGCCAGCAAGACATGCAGCTGATGGAGTGAAAAAGCATTTCTATTCCATCGCAGGTAAACAACAAAACAAGGGAAGTAATCACAGAACAAATGGGTGCAAGTTACATCGTACCATAAATCCTTCGAATCAATAAAACAATAGCTGTTTTGTTTTCGCATACATCTTTACATCTTACACTTTGTTGCAATAAAACTTTTTAAAAAAAAATACAAAAAGAAATAAAAGATATGGAACGATTTCTATTTATGCCATCATGTACACATAATTGGCCAAAAAAATATATGGGGAAAGTGGGATTCACAGGTACCTGAAGTGTGGAAACCCCCCCCCCCCCCACAATAATTTAAAAAAATCGTAAGAACTTATACTTTCTCAAATATATAATATTTCCCCATCAATCACACTCAATCACGACCTATGCCGTTTCATGCAAGCAGATTGTACTTCTTACGTTTAGAGATTGGCCATGTACAGTATATAATAAAGTTTATTATAACGTAAATGTATTATACATGCATGGCCATTCTCTAAACTTAAGAAAACGTACAATCCTGCCTGTATGGAACGAAAAATGGGTGTGATTGACTGAGAAATCTCATTCTTGAGAAGTTGAAGACTCTTACTTAATTTAAGAAGGGGGCATCCACACTTCAGGTGTTGGGGGGGGGGGGGGGGGGGGGGCACTACCTCAATAACAAAATTGAATGCAAATTAAAGAAAATAATTAAGAATAACTTAAAGCCAAAATAGTGGATAATTTCAAGACTTTTCTAATAGAAGATGGTTATCATTTTCCCTTATTAGTTGCAACATGCTTGATGTTTTTTTTTTTTAATGTGTTCACATAGTTACTTATTTCATGGTCCTAGGTTTTCCAAATGTCCTCGGGTGCATTGATGGTATGCACATCAAAATTCAGGCACCTTCAGAAAATGAACCAGATTTCTTGAATATAAAAGGGTACCATTCTCTAAATGTACAGGTAATTTGTTTTAATTATTTTGAATTATAATTATTTGCACTGGCCATCGTAAAATTAATATTTTTTAAAAATTTTCAAAAATTATAAAAATCTCTATCGAGTAATAATATTTAATTATTCATATTATCAGATGATCTCCGATGGCAAATTTAGAATTTTGAACTGTGTCGCCAAGTGGCCTGGAAGTGTACATGACAGCAGGATTTACCGAGACAGTCATATAAGCATTGCCTTTGAAAATGGTAACTTCATTTGTAAAGTTTTGTTAAATTGAATAATTATTGAAATCAGTATATATACATGTATATGGAAAGAAATCCCATTTTTCGACAGCGGTAAATTCTACAAAATTCTTTAAAAGTGTGATGCTAATCATCGATATTTCCCTAAGAGTGGCAAATTGGAACAACTTTTGGGGTTTGGATTCAAAAGTTTTAAGATCTAATGAAGAAGATGAAGATAACGAACTGCGATCGATCTCATAAAAACTAGGCATATACAGGTACAAACAATACAATTCTGTGAACGATCATCTCATAAAAACTAGGCATATACATGTACAAACAATACAATTCTGTGAACAGGGCTTAAACAAAGAGTTGTACATGTACCAACATCAAAGCACCTGACATTTGACCCAAATATTTGTAAATGTCATTGTAATTCAATATATACCACATACGTTTTCTATTTTATTATTGAGTGCATATATTAAGGACCCCCCCCCCCCCCCTTTCCAAGGTTGAAAACCATTCTTTACTGCTATTGACAATTATTGCCTGGGTCACTACCGTGGAAAATCACCGATTAGCGCTTATTGCACTTTTACTGAGTTCACTCAAAAATTAGAGTGCTATTTTTTTGCCACGGTTTGATTAAAAAAAAAGGGGGGGGCACAAATATGATACTTTCAAGTAATCTTATACATTTCTTTATATTTAAGGACAATATCCAGGACTACTCTTGGGGGACTCTGGTTACCCTTGCAAACCCCACCTAATGACACCGTACCCTGTCACTTCAAATGATGCGGAAGCAAGATTTAACAATGCTCACGCTAGAACCAGAGTTGTCATCGAACAGACCTTTGGCATCTTGAAGAAGAGATTTCCATGTCTCCACAGCGGCTTAAGAACAACTCCTGAAAAGGCGTGTGATATCACTCTGGCCTGTGCAGTTTTGCACAATATAGGAATAGATCATAATGACATACTGGATATTGATGATGGCGTATATATCAACCAAGGGGATGTAAATTTTAATGTTAGGGATCAGTGGGATGGCAAAGATGTTAGAAATTACATATGTAGGTCGTTTTTTTCATAAAGTATTATGCCACAACTGTATCCCTGGTACAGTTGTCTATACATGTATGATATTTACATTTGAGTTTATATAGTTTACAAATCATAATAGACTAGTATGGAAAAAGAATAACAGGGTTTGAACAGCATGTGAATGCAGATATACATAATTTATTATGCCCCCGTAATTATAGATTCGAGGGTACATGTATTTAGTTTTTGCCCTGTCCGTCCGTCTGTCTGTCTAGCTGTCTGTCTGTCTGTTTGTCCGCAAAAACTTTAACCTTGTCCATAACTTTTGATTGGTTGAAGCTATAACTTTCATATTTCAGGTGTATTCCTTGTGACAGGAACAATCTTTGGGTACCAACAAATTCGACATTTTGACCTTGATTTTGGAGTTTTACCCACTTTAAAAACAACTTTATCCTGGGCCATAACTTCCGAATGGTTGTTGTTTAGGCTTGCATATTCATTAAGACAGGTCCTTATCTTTTATAACAACACTTTTGATCTTTTGACCTAGACCTTGGACTTTGACCTTCGCCAAAAGCTGTCATACAGGGGGAATCGGTGTTTTACAAACAAATCTTGATTTATATTATGCATGCTATACAACCTTTTGGGTTATAAGTGGTAAAAACAATTTATATGGCATTGAAATACAGATTTAAGTAAAAAAAAATTCAGTACAACGATGAACACTTTGAAAATATTTTTGAACCTCTTAAAAATTTTATATCAGATATCAATAAAAGAAAATGCAAGTAACTAATTATGTAATTGTTTATTATATTAACGCTGTACTGCTACATGTATCACTTTACACACAGGATATTATAAATTAAATTTTATAGAGCATTAGTTAATTCAGTGAATTAAGAAAATAAAATAAGAAAAAAAGCTAAAATTATGGGTACAGTATTTAGAACAGAGATATACACTGAGAATTTTTGAGAGAGTATCTGTATGATTTTTAGCTCTTCTGAGCCAAAGGCTCAAAGAGCTAATGCTATGGCCATTTGTGCGGTGTGCGGCGTGCGGTGTGCGTAAACTTTTTAGAATATGGGCCATAACTCAAGAACCCCTTGGCCAATTATTGTCAAATTTGTCACAAGGTATCCTTGGCCCAAGGGCTCCCTTTTATACTAAAACTAGGGTTGTGACCCTTTAACAAGGGGAGATAATTAGGAAAATAGAAACAAAAGTACTGGTTGCTAAAAGATCTTCTTCTCAAGAACCACTGGGCAGATTATCACCAAACTTACACAAAAGGATGAGGATATGCTGTAGATTAAAATTGCACGGGGATTTACCCTGGGGCAAAGGGCGTGGTCTCAAGGTCACTTCAAAGTTGACCAAAAATTACATTTTATTAAAATGTTGATATTTTGCTTACTATAAGGACTAGGATCATCAAATCTTGTCAGTTGATGCATCTAAGGACCTCATATCATGTTGACTCAAAAGTAGGTCATGGTGACCTACTTTTTAAATTTTGGGGCTATTCTTTTTCAAAATGATTTAGAGGCATATTTTGAACAATTTAAGGCCTATGATCATCAAACTTTGTCAGTTTATGTATCTTAGGTCCTCGAAGTATGTCAACTAAAAAGTAGGTCACCTTGACCTACTTTTTGAATTTTATGGCTTATCTTTCTCAAAACAATTAAGGTCATTAATTCGAATACCGAGAGGTTTAGAATCATTAAATCTTGTAAGATGATGCATCTTGGGGCCATAAAACATATTTATTAAAAAGTAGGTCACAGTGACCTACTTTTTGAACTTTGCAGGCATTTGATTTCAAAGCGTTTTAGAAGCATAATTTGGACATTTTTAGTTTTATGATCATAAAACTTTGTAAGTTGATGCATCTTGGGTCCTCAAAAAAGGTCAACTGAAAAGTAGGTCATCGTGACCTACTTTTCAATTTATATGACTATAATTAAATATTTCAGGTACTAATTGGCTTAGAATCATCAAACTTTGTCAGTTGATGCATCTTGGGTCTTCGGAGTAGGTCGACTAAAAAGTAGGTCACAGTGACCTACTTTTGAAAATTTATGGCTTTAATTAAATATATGGGGTACTAATTGGCTTTGAATCATGAAACTTTGTCAGTTGATGACTTTTGGGTCTTCGGAGTAGGTCGACTAAAAAGTAAGTCACCATGACCTACTTGCAAAAATTTATGGCTTTAATTAAATATTTTGGGTACTAATTGGCTTAGAATCATAAAACTTTGTCAGTTCATGTGTCTTGGGTCCTCGGAGTGCAACAACTGAAAAGTAGGTCATGGTGACCTACTTTTGAAAATTTATGGCTTTAATTAAATATTTCAGGTACTAATTGGCTTAAAATCATCAAACTTTGTCAATTGATGCATCTTGGGTCCTTGGAGTACAACAATTGAAAAGTAGGTCACTTTGACCTACTTATAAAATTTTATGGTTATAATTTTAGAAAATATTTTAGGTATTAATTGGCTTAGAATCATCAAACTTAGTTGATGGGTCCTCAGACAATGACAAGTGATAAGTGGGTCACCATGACCAACTCTCAGGTACTAATTGGCTTAGAATCATCTTGGGTTCTCAGAGTGTGAATTGGAATTTCAAGGGTTTATCTAAATATACAGGATACTTCGAGGGTTCAAATAGAAGTGATAGGTTGCACAGTTTATCAGAAGAGCGATTCAAGGCCCATGGGCCTCTTGTTTAGAACATTTATGAAATGATGAAAGATGAAACATTTCTCTTGTAAAATATACAAATGTAACACATTCTTTTGGTCAAATTCCATATAATTAACTTATGATGATTAAACAAAATAAAAATACTAATACCAGTACTACATGTATATTTACATAATACACAATTATTTTTAAAATCTTGACATGTAATAATCAAACAGTGATTTCTTAATCAATGTTCAATAAATTTACACCAAAACTTTGCTGAGAGTTTTTTTTTCTTTATAAATGAACACAAGCATTTAGATAGCAGATTTAGTGATGGAATCATTAGTAAGGCAAGAGATTTTTTATTACAGGTATCTGGATATAAGGACGTCTGTCCCATAGGAAGGAACCATAACTCTTGAAAATATCATTTATTTGGATGTCTTAAAATTTTGCTTTATTTGAAATCAATTAATTGTGTGCACCAATTTTTAGTTCATGCTTTTAAAATAATCAAAGATCCACGTAGTTTAAAAACTTTAAAACAGTCTTATAAATAATTGACAAGTGCTCCCTTTACAAGAAAAAAAATTAACATTCTGTAACATGTAATTTTCTGTAAAATTTGTTACAATTCTTTTGAAACCTTGCAGTATTTAATATCTCAGAAAGAAAATTTCTGTTCAAGAAGAGTTCATGAATAGATGCATTTTGCTAAAATGTGGCTAGAAAATGTTTATATACATGTGTATCTATCTTTACCACTTACAACATATTTTTTATAATACTAGTAATGTTGTTTTAGTATTTCATAGTGGTAATAAAATATTTTATTATTTTAAAAAATTATTTTATTTTATTATTTAAAAAAAAAAGTTTCATGCAAATGAACAATAAAAAAAATCAATACATGTACCCGGTATCATCTTAAAGTGGAGAGTCTAAGAAAGGTGAAATAAATCATCATGTTAAAAATTATACAGCACTGTATAAATATATAATAGATGTACAAAATGTACGAGTACTTTCTGAATTTTGCTAGGGAAAAGACTTCTGTAGATTGATGCTCACCAATGTTAACTTTCATGTTAATAACCATTATGCCAATCTACGTGTCTGGTCCCTGCCCTTTGCATTCGGTGGACAATCTAGTTGTCAACCCGCATTGCCTCCGTGTAGAGAAGTGTAGCCGCTGACTTGTCATATTAAATCATTGTGTAATTTTTTAAATAATACAGAAAACAATGTAGGCCTATAATTATGCTACACATCCTCTCTACCCAAGCATATACCTAGATATATAGCAATTTTAAAATGACTGAACTTTTTAAATGTCCGTTTGTTGTCTCAAGAACTTGGAATTCCCCTTGATCATGTTGATACGTCTGAAAACTTATTATAGCAAATAAGAGGAATAACTCTAATTCTTAAAACAAAACAACACACACACACGAGGCACTCGTTTTCTATTAAAACAATAGTAATACTTATCAATTATGCATAATAAGGCATAATATATACGTGTTCATGATGATAAAATATACTGCAAATGGTACTTACGCATTCACCGCCTCTGCTACCTCCTCCCACGCCCCCTCTTTGAGTTTCACAATTTTTGACACCCCCCGACCCTTTCATTTTTCCGAAGAGGCGGTCCTAGCATTGTCGGACCGCCTCAACCGTGTCTTTGGAACTTTCACTTCCATAATATAGGCCTAGATTGCCGTAGCAGTCGATTATTTACATTGGATACTATAACCGGAAGTAAGGAGTAAGGCCGCTTATGTGATGTTGAAAAAACTCAGTTGAGAAAAAAAATAAACTTAGCTGAGAATTGACTGAGTTTGTTTCGAGAAACGCGATTTGAGAAAAATCTTAGCTGAGTTTTTTCTCAGGATTTGAGATTGAACTTGAGTAAAAACTTAAGTTTTTTTTCGAGAAATCCAAGCCAGAACACGTTAAAAAAAATAATAAGTAGTAGTGAAATCATGCTTGGTATGTACATCTGATTAAACTTGAAAAAAAAAATTTTTTTTAGGTCACCTGAGTCACTCAGGTGTCCTATTGCTGTCTGTTTTCTTCTGTCACTGTGCATTGTGCATTGTTAACGTTGTGCTTCTTCTCTTAAACCACTGTACCAATTTCAACCAATTTTGGCAAAATGCATCAATGGGTGATGTGGTACAAAAATTGTGAATTTCATGGTCTTCCTCTCTCCACCTGTATATATTTAGCAGATAAGCTAGGTGCATGGTTATGTGTGCAAGGGTGCTAAATCTTCCAAATTGTGAAATTTGTCCCCCCAGTTTGAGCGGTTCTGCAGGAGGGATGCTGGTATTGATCGGACCACTGTGGAGCTGCTGTGGGATCGCTATGGGACTGCTCTGGAACTGCTTTCTGTCAGGTTGAGCCTGGATGGTACTGTACATTCTGGCATCTGCTTGCAAAGCAGGCCAATAGAATTTTTGCCTTATTTGAGCAAATGTCTTACTCATGCCAAAATGTATAGATGTATGGCTGTCCTCTCATTATGACAGAACTTAAAATTTGTCCTAAGTTGGCTACTTGGTACAGTAGCTTGCAAGCAGATGGTCTTTCCATCTTCCTCTACAAATTGTATAGAATGCATTTTCAATAAAGAGACTGTTCTACTGTGACCATATAGAATGTAGCACGTATCCTTGGCCATTGACCTCACTGTACTCAGGTCTTGTTTTCTCTTTGACCCAATGTTTGTCAAGGGATGAATTCCTGTCTTGCATATCTTTCATTGACAAAATTGGGTTGTCTTCATCTTCTTTTGACCTACTGGCTTGGGCTATCTCTCTAACTTCTTGTTTCTTACTTTCCAATTCTGTCTCCCAGTTTAGATTAAATCCACATTTGTGACAAGGCACACAAAATAAATAAATAGAAACTTTTTTGAAATTCAATTAAAATATACTTCAACTACAGTTTTGGTCTGATTTCAAAAAGTCTTGATTTCCAAGATGTGTGATTCTGTATATTGGTTTGGAATTTCAGCAAATGGTGTTGCCATGGTTACACCTGTGTAGTTTTCTTACTTTAACAGGGGACAGCAGCTCAGAAAAGACAACTCACACCTGAAAATCCTACAATTAAGAGATTTCAGAGCAACATGCGTAGTCCAGTCGTGCCTTTTTCTCCTGCCAGTTTTTCACCAGTAGGGTAAGAAGTCAATTTATAATTATCTTGTGTTGAGCATATGCTTTATTAGGTCACCCGAGTCACTGAGGTGATTTATTGCTATCTGTTTTCATCTGTCATCATGGTCATTGTCAATTATCCATTAATATATTAACATTTTCAGCCTTTTCTCTGGAATGACTTGGCAAATTTCAACCATGGTCCTCTTTTGCCCATAGCTTCTATGGGCAAAGGAGAACAAAAATTATTTCATGGTCTCTACCCCCAGGTGTTTGAGGGGTGAGGCAAAACCATCAAATTAATGCAATCTTCAAAAATCTTCTTTACTCAATAAGCATTTAGCCCTCTACTTAAGTTCTGAAATTATGAAGCAACCTCACTTTTATTTTTTGCTTAAAAAAGTTGGATAAGTCCCACTTTAATTCTGGGAATTTTAGTGATGCACACACCCGAGTTCCTCTTTACTCCTCCATAAATAGTTGAGGAACCAATCTCGCACACACATGGGACCTTATGAAAATTTGTATTGGTAAGTTATATAAGGTACTTTCACTTTCACTGAATTAAGTAGGCAGTCTTTTTAGATGGTCTGCAATGATAGCATCTCTCGTCATTGCCAATAGCTGATTGTCTGTATCTTTTGATCTACAGGGGGACTCAACCAAAAAACTTCAGTTTAAAAAAAATTGCCCATTCCACTTGTATTCTAATGTATTAGTGATATATTTTTATACCCCCGCTCCGAAGGAGAGGGGGTATACTGTTTTACCCTTGTGTATCTGTGTAGCTCTGTGTCTGTCTGTAACAAATTTTCGTCACAGTTTTCTTAGCAACTACTCATTGCAGGTGCTTGAAATTTTAGCACACTCTCTGTCTAGGGATGCCATATGGAGGGATTAATTTTTTTCTAATGTGATGTCAACTTCCTGTTTATCCACATTCCATACCAAATTTCCGTCACAGTTTTCTCGGCAACTACTCAAGATAGATGCTTGAAATTTAAGCAAACTCTTTCTTTAGGCATGCTATATGGTGGTATTCATGAGAGTGCATATTCACATCAGAGTGGGGTATTACTAGTGAGCATTAGCTCACAGACTTCTTGTTTGTTATATTTTGTTATCACAAATAACTTTCTTAAGGCATCATTACTCATTTGACATATAACTAGGGTTGGATACTGGTACTCGGTACCAATACCGTACCGAATAGTTATTTAAAAAATACCGGTAAAATACCGTTTTATTTAATACCAGTACTATAACGGTATTTCTCAATCTTTGAAAGATTTTAATACATTCAAAATGATTTTTAAAAAAAGAGATTCCAGACTCGCTAAAATAAAATTCCCCGCGCATTGAAAGGGTAGGCTAATTAACGAAATGGATGCTTAGTACGGTACTTGCTTTTGACTGCTGATATTCGAGGTAAATCAATACGTATATTTAAAAATAAAAAAAAAATCACATTAATCTTGTTTTAATTTTATTTATAAAAACTGATAATAATTGTAACTAAAAAATGCAAAATGTCGCAAAAATGTGATGTGCATCTCTATCCATTATTAATGTTTCGTCGTTTAGTGCGAACAAACAAAATGGGTCCTGGCAAGTGGCAACCGGGTGAAGCGGTCAGCTGTATCTAGTTAAATTAATTTGTTTGAGATTCAATTTATTTGTTTTGTTGATGATTTATTAAAAGATTGAAATATAACATAGTTTATAGGGTCATTTTAGATTATAACATCGAATGGTTGCGGATTGGTGAAAACACATTTGTTATAAAATGAGCCCTCATTCTCATTCATCGAGGTCAAGTACCGTATCGTTAAAAATACCGTATCGTTTTAAAAATACCGGTATGGTATCGTACCGTTTCATCCTTAACGGTATCCAACCCTACATATAACTGAACTGCTCTCTGTTGCGCTGTAATGTCATCAAACGTCAAAATTTTTTGTGTACTGCGTTTACCACTTTCCCATTTCAAAGCCTTGGAAAAGTGCGAAAAATTAAGCAAAAATTCAAATTCTCCAAATGACAATAGATAAGGAATTAAAAACAATTTAATTTTTACCCCAGCCTTATCTATTTATTATTTTTATTTCAAAATAATACTCAAATGTTCCCTGTGAAACCCCATTTTTTTGGTCGTGCGCAGTAGGGCCATGCCCTTCGCACATTCAAGTATAATAAAATCTTTATTTTTGAATATAATTTATTAGAAATATTAAGATATAATTAAATATGATAGATAAACATTTGCTGAATATTTCAGCTCAGTGCATGCATTATTTTTCTATAAAAACTTGATGTCCATGATTTTATGAATAGAAAGTAGAATATTAAATCAAATGATTTATTAGTATTTCACTGTGGAAAGTAGGTACTCTATCTGAGAAGCTCACACCCTTATTTTGTTATCCCCCCCCCACCCCCAAAGTTTTGTCAGTCAAAGCAATCTAAAGGCCTGTGTTGAAACAGTTAAATATTTTGCTGTAATTGTTAAAGCAGTAGGTCTCAGTAAGTTTTATTTTTTAGGGCAACACCTTCCAAAAAGTATAGATTAAGAACAAATGCTGGTGATGTGGTAGCCTCATTCGGAAATTTGGATAACATAAAGTGGCAAAGCAGAGGCCAGAATTGCACCATCAAATGGTATGATCCATTGAACAACTTATTGAAAGAGGAGAAAGAAAGTCTAAAGGATCTTAGTAAAAACTTCAAGTATATGTTCCAGAAACTAACAGCCAAAGCCTCAGGTAAAGTGCTTCATTGGAAATATTTTTGTGCATAGTTTTTTTTTTAAAAATTTTTTAGGTCACATGAGTCACTCAGGTGTTCTCTTGCTATCAGTTTTTGTCCATCTTCAGTTGCAAACTTTGAACATTTTCAGCTTTTCCTAGAACAGCTGAAAAAATTACATCCAATTTTGATATCTAGCATCTGTGGACAAAGGGGAACAAAATTTTGAATTTCATGGTCCCCACTCGTCTCAGGCCTGAGGGGTGGGGCTTAAACCATCAAATTTAATTCCATACAAAAAGCATAACCTTATCGCGTTAATTATTTCATGATCGATAGAAATTCGAAACAAGTAAGCAACAACAGAATGAACACACTTGTCTTTTTACTGTAGATCACTAAATTTTCACGACACCTTATTCTCGCGAGATAGTCATTGACTCTTTATTAGCGAGACATAATTTTCACGAATTATTGTTATTCCTCTATATAATCTTAAGGAATACTATTATACGCGAGAATGAAATTTTCGCGAGCTCACTGTCTCGCGAAATTATGCGAAAATAAAGTTCTCGCAAATAAAAAGTGATTTACAGTAATCTTGCATGTAAAAGCTTCCAAAGTTTCTGAGGTTGCGTGTATTCAGGGGTCGACATTAACGGTTGTCTGATTGCCTGGGACAAGTAAATTTTCAGTTTGGGCAAATGAAACTGTCGACGTACTTGTCCGATCGGGCAAGTGAATTTTTCTCATAGAAATGTACAAAATTTAGTTTACATTAATTTATAAATAAAGCAATAAATTGAACACTTGATTTCAGCCGCGTACCTGACTGACAATGTTTTTGCATTCGGAATTCGTTGATAGCGTTTCTGGATCATACCGTTCATTTAAAAAATCAGGATTGTTAATATTTTATGCTCAACATCTAATAACTTTGTTAATTTCTTATTAAGAATTCAGATTATTTATTCACTGTAAGTACAGTGTAACACGGTGTATCTTGATCAAGATAAGATGTGTGTTTTGTAGCAACTATCTTCCTTTAGTGTTTCTTCACAGTTATCTCTGAAAATTACGATTCACAAAAGGATCCTACCAAAAATAATTTTAAAAAATATGAATTTTATTAAAAGGAAAAGGAGGATTCTTGCTGCATGGCAGTGTGTGTTAACAGCTTAAATTACATGGACAGTGGTATACATTTATGTACAAATTCAGCATCAAAATATTTTCAGGTAGTTCATCTTGTCAAATTGACAGTAGTGTATTCAGTCACATTTTTTCTTATCTTAACATTTACAGTAATAAATAATTTTTTTCGGAATTTCTTAAGTTTGACATCACTTGCCCAAAGGGCAAGTAAATCTGAAAGTTAATGTCTATCCCTGGTATTTCTTGACAGGTTGGATCAGAATTATTTATTTTGGCTAGCATATGCTTTTCTGCCTCCTGAATTACTGCAGATGTTCTTAAAAATAGATTTTTTTTTACATGTATATTAGATGGTACACAACTGCACTTGCATCTAAATTAAAGATAATAATCCACAGCTTAAGAGAGAACTTCAAAATACATAATATTTAAACATGTTGGCTCTCATAATTATCTGTATTTCATGCACTATGAAGACAAACTGATTTTTTTTTTTACAAATACAGTGCTCCCCCATTAAAATTCCCCCCGTTATAATGCCACCCCCGCCTACCGCCAAAAAAAAGTCAAGTCCCGATTTCCTCGCTATATAAAACCCCGTTTTACCACCATCCCCCGCCTATCGCCATCCGCCAACGTATTTCAGGTACAAATCTGTCCATTACCGTTATAATCACCCCCGATAATTACCGCCAATTATATCTTCGGGGAGAGAATTTCAGTGAACAGTCTTAAGCAATTATCCGCCATTAGTCTTCCAGGTATCAAAGTTTGGAGTAGATAATAAGTTACATGCATAATTATTTGAGTTCAAATCTTTACTCTTCTTTTTGAAGTCTGAATATGGCTGACTCGCCGAAATCAGGCGCGTTATCTTGGAATTGAAACATTGAATTGAAGTGAAGGTATTCGCTTTATTAAACAAGCATGGGAAAGTGTAACGCCCGACACGATTAGAAATTGTTGGATCCACAGCGGGTTAGTCACGGATGAAAATCGATCTATAAATAGCACACCTGTCGACGATTATGACCTTACGGTGTCTTTGTCACAAGTTCAAGACTCGCTAGATTTGGATCCAGACATGAGGTTGACCGTCCGAGAATTTTTGAATTTGGACAAAAATGCCGAGTCCTCTCAATCACTTACTGATGACGAAATATCGTCAACCGTGGCGAACTCAAACGATAATACAGACCAGGTAGAGGACGATAGTGAAGAAGAAGCTCCGCGTGTTCCTACATACGTAGAGGCCAGACAGGGACTTGAATGTTTGTTACGGCATTTAGAATCAAAAGAATCAACAACTGAATCTAAAATAAACTTTTTCTGCAATTAGCTATTAAAATAAAACCATCAAAACAATCAACAATTGATATGTTTTTCAAAAAACAGTGATTTTCTGACAAGCATACCTAAGCTTTTATATTTGTTTATTTGATATAAAGGCATTAAAATCTTGAAATACATGTAGTACATTGATAATAAATTTGTTTTCATTTATTTGTGCACGTCACTTCTCTCCCCCCGATATAACGCCACCCCCGTTATAATGCCAAAATGACCAAGGTACAAATGTTGGCGTTATAACGGGGGATCACTGTACATGTAAACATTAAACACGCCTGTGTTATTATCGAAAGAGGAACCAGGAATTATACCCCCCAATATATATATATATGTGTATATATATATATATATATATATATATATATATATATATATATATATATATATATATATATATATATATATATATATATATATATATATATATATATTTGGGGGGTATAATGTAATATATATATTACCCCATGATTTGTTGTTCTGATATAGATGCAATTTCTCTGTACATGTACATGCATGCTATTTAAAGAATCAAATTCCGGGGATGGGGAGGTGTCCTCGAGTAGGGTACTGTGGAAAAAATCCTTGCGAGGTGAGTCGCTTCTGTTTAAAAGCATACCATTCATATTTTCCATTTGCATAATTCATTTTTCAATTTAAGCAAGAAAAAGGATAATTTAAAATGAAACATAATCCATTAATAATCAATGTTATGGGTGCATGTACATGTACTCGTTGAAACTGTAGAACATCATGTATATAATCATTCCATGCTTGCACACACACATATAAATGTTAAAATATTATCATCTATGTTATTGTATAATTTTGAACCCTGATGCAATAAAAAGAAATAATATTTAGTATGAAGCAAGGATCATGTATAAAAGTACTTATAATTGATAATCTATACCCGTATAAATAAGTTTACAGTTTAAGCAGTGCGCACACAAGTTGTAAACTTAATAGAGATTATTAGAATTGGGGGGGGGGGGGGATTTTTTTTTTACATGTATTAGTAAATAAAAATGTACGTTAGTTAACCTTTAAAAAATGAGGAAGAGAATTTCAGGTTGGTTTCAACATTATGGAAACCATAAGGAATCGGAATCAATAGTTTCCGGATACTAAAACCTCCTGAAACAAATAAATATTGCTACATTGATGTACAGTTGCATTTCACGTTGGTTTCCATGTCGTGGAAACCATTAGGAAACCAACCTAATATTTTCATTATACGGAAACCATGCAGAAATTTGCTGAAACTATTATATAGTTTCTGCATTGCAGAAACTATACAAGAACTTTAACATCAAGTTTCAGCAAGGTTTCCATATAGTTTCAGTTTTTCGGAAACTGGATTTTTCATCCAGTGTCTGGTCAATTTATCAATTTCTACTGAAAGAAGCTATTCCCCATTCCTATTCATTTATAATAGTTAATCACTGTAAATAATGTAACTTTAAAAGTAGGAGTGAAACGGTTCACCGCGGTATCGATTGACTGCGGTATTTTTTCTCGGTTCGATACATGGTACAAAATTTCTGATTTTCGGTTCAGTTCATATTTTGGTCGGGATTGTTATTCAGTCGGGTTTGGCATAAGGTAAAACATGTTAATCAGTATAAATAAGTACACAAAATGTAAATTTTTGATGAAAGATGGTTTGTAAAATAATTTTTCACAGTCAAATAATTCTAGTCAATTTCTTCTAGTCAATTTGCAAATAAAAATTCGTAAATTAAGTGACTAGATTTAGCGAACATAGGCATAAAACAAGGTTGAATTTGTTTCCTTCTATCAAAATGTATCGTATCGAAAATACCGTACCGAGACAAAATTATACAATACGTATTGAACCATGAAGGAGGTGTATCGTTTCACCCCTACTTAAAAGGTCATAACAGAATTATACAAGAAATTTTATAATATTTAATACAAAAGTACATTCATGGTTTTTAATGGTCAGGTAAACTTTTAAATGATGAATAAATGAAAATGGGACAAAAATACCATATCTTTGTACAGTAAATAATCTTTAAAAACCAAGAGAGGCCAATGCGAGGGGGAATAAATGTGTTAACTAATAGTGCTCTAGAACTATTGTTTTGTTAGGTCACCCGAGTTTACTCAGGTGCCCTATTGCTATCTGTTTTGTCTTTCGGCATGTGTCGTCCGTCGTGTTTAACATTTGAACATTTTCAGCTTCTTCTCTGGAACCACTGAACCAATTTCAACCAAATTTGGCAAATAGCATCTATGGGTAAAGGGGAGTAAAATTGTGAAATTCATGACCCCTATCCCCCTGGGGCCTGAGGGGTAGGGCTTAAACCATCAAAATTAATGCAATCTTTAAAAATCTTCTTTACTCCTGGGCATCAAGCAGACAAACTGTTGGCATGATTGTAATAAGCATTGAGCCCTCTACCTAAATTGTGAAATTCATGGCCCCAGGGTCAGGGATTCTAGTGCTAGGGCAGGGCTCTGTTGAATATATAGTGATAATGCATTGTATCTTTAAAAATCTTTTTCTCTGATCCAGGGCAAACAAACTGAATGCATAGTTATGATGAGTAAGGGTGCCTCTTCCTATATTGTGAATTTCATGGCCCCTGGGTCAGAGGTTCTGGTGTTAGGGCGGGGTTTTAATTATTACATAGTAAAAATGCAACAATTCTTTGACAATCTTCTCCTTTTCTGCTGGGTATTAAGCCGATGAACTAAGAGTATAGTCATGATGAGTAAGGGTGCCTCTTCCAAAATTGTGAAATTCATGGCCCAGGGTCAGGGGTTCTGGTGTTAGGGCAGGGCTCTGTTGAATATATAGTTAAAATGCATTATTAGTCCCCTACCGGTGAAACCGGAGGGGACTATAGGTTTCCTCTGAGTCTGTCCGTCCGTCTGTCTGTCCGTCTGTCTGTCTGTCTGTCTGTCCCTCTGTCTGTCTGTCAGTCTGTCCCACTTGGTTTTCCGCACTTTTTTCCTAAACGCTTGCAGATATTGAGCTGATTTTTGGTATGTGAGTGTATCTTGATGAGTTACAGATCAAGTTTGCATTTCGTTCCGCTTCATTGATTTTTGACGGAATTACGGCCTTTTCAATTTTTAAGGGTTTTCCGCAATTTTCTTCTAAACGCTTGTAGATATTGAGCTGATTTTTGGTATGTGGCTTTACCTTGATTAGTTATGGATCAGGTTTGCATTTCGTACCACTTCATTAATTTTTGACGGAATTATGGCATTTTCAATTCTTAACGGGAACCAGATTACACTTGCCGGTAGGGGACTAGTATTGCTAATGCAATACTCTCAGAATGCTTGTTTCTTTAAAAATGTTTTTCTTTGATCCAGGGTATTTAGCAAACAAACAGAATGCTTAGTTATGATGAGTAAGGGTGCCTCTTCTTTTAAAATTTTACAAAGTATGGACAATGCTTTTTAATTAAAACATATTTTGTGTATGTAAATATAATATGTTTGCTTATAGCAGTCAGAGACCTACAATTGAAGCTATGGGATATGCTTGTGTGTTGGACTAAGTAAAATTCATTTGATTACATCAAGTTCTATTGTGTTTTTCTATTTTATGAAATGTTTGTTGATTAAAAACAATTTTAACTGAATTGCTCAGATAAAATCTAAAGGAAAGAGGAACCTGAATTAAAGACAAGAAAATAAGCCCAGCCTTCAAATATACCTGGTCTGTAAACTCCATCAATCAAGTGAATTAGAGTCTGGGATTGGATGCTATAAATTGATTGATATTTAGCTATTATTCTTTGTGTATCCCTTGTCTAGGTTGATCATCCTATTGACCTTTACACATATTTTGAAATATGATATTAAAAAAATTTAATATATGAAAAATACCATTTAAGTTGTGAGTACATTTATTTCCTTTCTGTCATGTGTCAAAAAGATCAATCCTTTTACATCAAAGTTCTGAATAACCTTGAAGGCTGTAGGATGAGCGAGTTCTGAATGAATACTGAGTACATGGTGAATGCAGTATGAGTGAACATGAAAAGCTCTGTTTGTGGTGAGCAGAAAGCTTGTACAAATGATGAGCGAAAGAAAAAATGGGCAAGTAGAAAGTATCAAGAACTGTAACAGTAAAATAATATTGACTTTGTTTCCAGTTTTAAATGAAATGATAGATGATATGGCACAACAACTACAAGAGAAAAACAACATTGAGGAATTTTCCCATGTTTCTCTACCAGTTCAGGTTAGTACACAAATTTATTATAGACTTGATTCTATTGATAATTTTTTTCATCAAAAAATGAATCTAAAACATGAAACACACACTTTATAAAAGCTGGAGGCATTATTTAAAAAAATGTGCGAATTGTTTTTAGCTCACCAAAGCCAAAGGCTCAAGTGAGCTTTTCTGATTGAAGGGTGTCTGGCGTACGTAAACTTTTCACATGGCCAGTTTCAACCAAACTTGTCACAAAGCTTCTTGAGTAAGGGCCACACCCTCTTTCAATAGGGAGATGATTAAGAATGAGTGAAAATTTAATGTTTTTTGAAAATCTTAAGAAACACTGGACCAGAAATTATAAAACTTTTGTGAAAGCTTCATTACATTACATTTCTGATTGAAATTTGTCTGTTGTCTGTCATCATTGTTGTCGTCATCATCGTTGTTGGCGTTGTTGTAAACTTTTCACATTTTCATCTTCTCAAGAACCACTGAGCCAGTTTCAACCAAACTTGCCACAAAGTATCCTTGGGTAAAGGGGATTCAAGTTTGTTCAAATGAAGAGCCATGCCTTCTTCCAAGGGAAAAAATTCATTAAAAATCATTTAAAAATCTTCTTCTCAAGAACCACTGTGTTGAAAATATGAAACTTATGTGGAATCATTGTGAGGTAGTGTAGATTCAAGTTTGTTCAAATCATGACCCCTGGGTGTTGGGTGGGGCCACCATGGGCGATCAAAGTTTTACATAGGAATACATAGGAAAAATTTTCTTCAGAACAGCAAAGCCATGATTGGTCATATTTATATGCAAGCATCCTCAGGTAGTGTAGATTCAAGTTTGTTCAAATCATGACCCCCTGTGGGTAGGGTGGGGCCATAATGGACGACTAAAGTTTTATATACAGTAGGAATACATAGGAAAAATACCTTTAAAATCTTCTTCTCAAGATCAGCAAAGCCATGATTAGTCATATTAAATGGAAGCCTCAGGTAGTGTGGATTCAAGTTTGTTCAAATCATGACTCCTGGAGGGTAGGGTTGGCCACAGTGGGGGATCAAAGTTTTAAATAGGAATACATTGGAAAAATCAGCAACAGCCATTTTGTGTCATATTAATTCAAAAGCATCCTTAGGAAGTGTAGATTCAAGTAAGTTCAAATCATAGCAACCCCCCCCCCCCCCCCCCTCCCCAACTACTTTTATATTTAAACTTTTCAAGACTGAACTGATTTCTTCTTTTTCCTAGCCACAGTGCTCAAGTGAGCAATTTGGCCCCTGGTGCCTCTTGTTTTTCAGCAACAGCTTCAATGTTAATTCCCAAACTAACAACCAAAGAAAGCATTTTATTGTTTAAAAATGTGTGGCAATATCCATTCCAAGTTGTGGCATAGTTCATCATTCATAAAAAATTTGATGAATGGTTAAAATTTGACTGGCATTATTATCATTGTGAACACATTCTAGGTCCATAAATTACTGTTATTCACTTAAAAAACATTCTGATTGTACATACAAGTACTCTGAAGTTGATATTAAAAAGATGCTTGAGTTTCTGATTGACAATATCTATGTTGTGTTTGGAGACCAGGTCTTCCAACAATCTGTTCGAATTCCCATGGGTACCATTTGCGCCCAGTTGTTAACAGACCTATTTTTGCACTCATATGAAGCAAAATTTATTCAAAATCTTATACATGAGAAAAAGAAGTCTCTTGCTGTGGCCTTCAACTCGACATTTAGAAATATAAATGACATAGTTATTTCCATTCATATGTCGACATGATATATCCCAGTGAGCTTGAAATAAAAGATACCACATAGTCTGACATATCTGTTTCATATTTGGATATTTTACTTGAAAAAGATGTTTATGGTAATCTAACAACAAAGCTTTATGATAACTTTTGATGACTTTAACTTTTCAATTGTCAGCTTCTCTTACTTATAAAGCATTATACCCTAATCACCTGCATATGGGGTGTATATCTCTCAGTTGATTCGATACGCAAGAGCATGCTCTACGTATGAACAATTTCTAAAATGAGGTAAGTTATTGACAAACAAGTTGATGACATCAATATCAAGACTCTCATTTAAAGTCATCATTTTGAAAGTTCTGTGGTTGATACAATAACCTTGTTAGCAAATACAATCTATCATTAAGTCATATGCTGACACGTTTTTCATACTAGTTGTTAGGCCATTATTTACAAACTGAATTGTCGACGGATTTTTCCGTTATTTACCCATCATGACAAGGAGCACACAGCGGGTGTGACCGGTTGGCAGGGGATGCTCACTCCTCCATGGCACCTGATCCCACCTCTGATGTTTTTGGAGGTCCTTGTTTGCTCTGCTCCCGATTTGTATTGTTTTAATGGACTTTGAACTTGAATATTGTTCGATATCTTCATATTTCATTGGTACATTTTCTGAAAAACCAACCAGGGGGTATTTGTTCATTCTGGATGGTTCTAGTTCAAGTTCTGCTTATCCCTTTGGGCTAGTGAGGGACATAATATGGGGTCAAAATTTTCACGAGAATAAAGACAAACAAATTTCTTTAAAAAATAAAAATGGACAACAGGACCAAGATAATGCAGATAAGCATTGTAGCCCGTGGGCCTCTTGTTATATTGAGAAGTATTGATACTTTATATAGGAAGAAGTGACTTTAGTTGGGAGAATTTGCTGTGATAGCCTAGGTAAGCTGAATGCCAAGTCTGTGATTCTGGAAGGTTCAAGAGACACTTCTGCTGGCTGCTTCATTCATCTGGACCTAAGTGACCTTAAACAGTACTCCTTGTTTCCAGGGCAGGTAAGACGGCATCATTTGGAGATAATAAAAGATCTCATACATATGTTTCAACATATGTATATGTTAATTGTATTGCAGAAAGTAAAAGTGCATACTACAGAATTCTTACACTCAAGGAAGCTCTAAACACTAACATAAAATGTTTTTGGACTTGGAGAAAATTATGTCATATAAAGTTGTACATACTGAGTTTAACATCCTTAATGACAAATTTTAAAGATCTCAAAATTCGAAATATTGAACTGACATTTTTTTATCCGCACGTCTTAAGACATATGATGATATTGGTGAGATGATAAAATCCTTTTAGTTCAGTTATTATTATACAATTATGGACTCGGTGGTGAATATGGTTTGTTATTCACCAGAAAAATATCAATATTGACCAAGGCAAAACTGATATGGTTATTCACCAGAAAAAAATCAGTATTGACTAAGGTGAAGCAAATGTCAATACTGATATTTTTCAGGTGAATAACAAACCATATTTAACACTGAGAGTTCATAATTATTTTTTTATATAGTCCAGATTTGAATAAATGACATTGAAGGCTGCATGTTGACACCATTTTCATAAATGAACTGTTGTAGAAAGATTTAAAGATTTCAAAATTACATTATAGCTTCAGTGTTTTTCTTTTGTTGTATGTAAGATATCTAAATTTTTTTATTTTGCTGAGATACATGGCTTGCTTTGGCCATTGAAATGATTGTTAATAATTTTGTTTGAGGTGTTGTTTGTGATTTCACGAATGCTGCTGCATGCGCACTGACCTCCAGTTGTTGCATGAGCACTGACCCTCCAGTGAATAGGGCTTCAAATCTGAATATGTTGTATTATGAACCATTTGTATAGATTATATGGGTACAGTCCACTAATTTTTTTCTCATAGGCTACAATGTTAACGTTTTCACATAGCAACGTCCCTAGTTTTTGTTCAGCAGTGAGTGACCCCTCAAATCAGAGCACATCAAGTTGTCTTTCCTTGGTAAAAATCATGAGGTGGCATGTCAGATTCATTTTCCCTCAAAATGCATTCATCTGCATTAACCTCAATAAATGAAAGTGAAAGAAGGGGAATTCCAGACTTCTCATTGGTTTTATAATACAGAAAATAATTTTGCTTATCTTCTTGATAAATCATATTTGCCAAGCTATTTTATAAGGAAACATACTCCTTATCAACAAGTATGAGGCTCAGTTTTCTACATTATCACAATTTTTCTTTTATTCAAATCTGCAAATTAAGGAACTTGTAATTTTTTCTGCTCTACTTTCTTCCCCTACTGATTCTAAAAATAATTAAAGGTATGTACCCATATAGGGACTATAAATAGACTATATAATAATATGAGTTACTGACTTATTAGGTGCAGCAAAACAGTAAGTATTTGAGCTGCACTTTGACTTTTGCTGAAATATTGCATTTTCACATCTATTTTTTTATTTTGTTTGTTTGTTTGTTTTGTTTGTTTGTTTTAGGTAGTGGCTTTGGATGGAATAAATACTTCTGGACAGAAATTTGTTGTGAAAAAATTATATGAGGTAAGTGAACAAAACAGATTTGTGTAAAAATGGAAACATTTCTTCTGTATTTTCTGAAAGCAGTGAGAATTTCCAGAAACTTAGAAATTTAACCATGTGGCCAAGGGTTAGGATTGTTGAGATAACAAACTCAGAATGTGTTTACAATATAATTGTGCTTCATAATAAATGTCTATGGAAACGTTCCTCCTATCTCTACATGTTGTAATAAAATGAAAATGAATTATTACATGTATGTAGTCTAACAAAATTTACAAACTGGAACCAATTCCGGTCCTATAGGTCCAAGCTCTATTTATAAAGAAGTGTTCCTTTATGCTTGAATCTTTCACATAAATATTTCCATGCAAAACAATACCTTTGTACATATTTATACCCCATGCAACTTGTTGCATGAGGTATAATGTTTTTGACCCGTCTGTCGGTCAGTTAGTCAGTCAGTCTGTCAGTCCTGTTTTTTTTTTGTCAGTGCAACTCCTCATAAACCGCTGCAAAAAATTTCATCAAACTTTGCAGATATTCAGCACACAATGTGTAGATGTCCATATTAGCAGGAAATTCCGATTTCTTTATTTTTTCTGGGAATTTCGGCACTTTTCAACTTAGATTTTTGGCCATATCTTGAATATAGAGATGAACAGTTTGTCAGCGCAACTCCTCTTAAACCGCTGCACAGAATTTGGTTAAACTTTGCAAATATTTAGTACACAGTGTGTAGATGTGCATATTACCAGGAAATTCCGATTCCATTATTTTTGCCTTAAGAGTTTTGCCTATTATTAAAGAAACTTTCCAGCTAGGTAATAAGGAACTCCACTGGAATCAGCTTTTGTAATGAAATTTTATGTGAAATATTTTATGACCTTATAAGACCCCTATTGATTTTAAGATCAAAATATTAATGATTTAACACACACACACACACATACACATACACACACACAAAATCTTGGATAGTTCTCTCCCCCCCCCCCAAATTGGTGCTTTGCCTTAAATAATTTTATGAGTACAGTATATAAGCAAATTCATATGACTACATCATAATTTTGTTTCCATCAATTATTTAGATGTGTAAATTGTCATGTGTTTGACATGGACTTACACTCATTAACAAATCAAATTCACTGAGGAATTTAAATAACAGTTTGTCAGCATAACTCCTGCACTGAATTTCCTGAAACTTTGTAGGTATTTCAGACATGATGTATAGATTTGTATATTACCAAGAAATTTTGATTCCATTATTTATCTAGAAACTCCAGCCCAATTAAATTTGTAACATACAAAGATTTGAATGTCCTTATATGCAAGAAGTTTTGATGTTTTGAATTATACTGTGTTAAAATGCACTGTGCCATTCATTACGTGTTGCATTGTCGAGCTTTGGGGGAGTGTGGGGTATGTGAGCTTGCTCACTTTTTTAGCTCTTCTGAGCCAAAGGCTCAAAGAGCTAATGCTATGGCCATTTGTGCGGCGTGCGGTGTGCGTAAACTTTTTAGAATATGGGCCATAACTCAAGAACCCCTTGGCCAATTATTGTCAAATTTGTCACAGGGTATCCTTGGCCCAAGGGCTCCCTTTTATACTAAAACTAGGGTTGTGACCCTTTAACAAGGGGAGATAATTAGGAAAATAGAAACAAAAGTACTGGTTGTTAAAAAATCTTCTTCTCAAGAACCACTGGGCAGATTATCACCAAACTTACACAAAAGGATGAGGATATGTTGTAGATTAAAATTTGCACGGGGATTTACCCTGGGGCAAAGGGCGTGGTCTCAAGGTCACTTCAAAGTTGACCAAAAATTAAATTTTATTAAAATGTTGATATTTTGCTTACTATAAGGACTAGGATCATCAAATCTTGTCAGTTGATGCATCTAAGGACCTCATATCATGTTGACTCAAAAGTAGGTCACGGTGACCTACTTTTTAAATTTTGGGGCCATTCTTTTTCAAAATGATTTAGAGGCATATTTTGAACAATTTAAGGCATATGATCATCAAACCTTGTCAGTTGATGTATCTTGGGTCCTTAAAGTACGTCAACTAAAAAATAGGTCACCTTGACCTACTTTTTGAATTTTATGGCTAATCTTTATTAAAACAATTAAGGCCATTAATTCCAATACCGAGAGGTTTAGAATCATTAAAACTTGTAAGATGATGCATCTTGGGGCCATAAAACGTATTTATTAAAAAGTAGGTCACAGTGACCTACTTTTTGAACTTTGCAGGCATTCGATTTCAAAGCATTTTAGAGGCATAATTTGGACATTTTGAGGCCTATGATCATAAAACTTTGTAAGTTGATGCATCTTGGGTCCTCAAAAAACATCAACTGAAAAGTAGGTCACCTTGACCTACTTTTCAATTTATATGGCTTTAATTAAATATTTCAGGTACTTATTGGCTTAGAATCATCAAACTTTGTCATTTGATGCATCTTGGGTCCTTGGAGTATGACAACTGAAAAGTAGGTCACGGTGACCTAGTTTTGAAATTTTATGGCTGTATTTAATATTTTTCGGGTACTATTTGGCTTAGAATCATCAAAATTTGTCAGTTGATGCATCTTGGGTCCTCGGAGTAGGTTGACTGAAAAGTAGGTCACCGTGACCTACTTTTGAAAATTTATGACTTCAATCAAATATTTTGGGTACTAACTGGCTTAGAATCATCAAACTTTGTCAGTCGATGTATCTTGGGTCTTCAGAGTGCAACAACTGAAAAGTAGGTCACTGTGACCTACTTTTGAAAATTTATGGCTTTAATTAAATATTTCAGGTACTTATTGGCTTAGAATCATCAAACTTTGTCAGTTGATGCATCTTGGGTCCTTGGAGTACGACAACTGAAAAGTAGGTCACGGTGACCTAATTTTGAAATTTTATGGCTGTATTTAATATTTTTCGGGTACTATTTGGCTTAGAATCATCAAAATTTGTCAGTTGATGCATCTTGGGTCCTCGGAGTAGGTTGACTGAAAAGTAGGTCGCCGTGACCTACTTTTGAAAATTTATGACTTCAATCAAATATTTTGAGTACTAATTGGCTTAGAATCATCAAACTTTGTCAGTCGATGTATCTTGGGTCTTCAGAGTGCAACAACTGAAAAGTAGGTCACTGTGACCTACTTTTGAAAATTTATGGCTTTAATTAAATATTTCAAGTACTAATTGGCTTAGAATCATCAAACTTTGTCAGTTGATGCATCTTGGGTCCTTGGAGTTCAACAACTGAAAAGTAGGTCACTTTGACCTACTTATAAAATTTTATGGTTATAATTTAAAAAAAAACATTTTAGGTATTAATTGGCTTAGAATCATTAAACTTAGTTAATGGGTCCTCAGAGAATGACAAGTGATAAAGCAGGTCACCATGACCAACTCTCAGGTACTAATTGGCTTAGAATCATCTTGGGTTCTCAGAATGTGAACTGGAATTTCAAGGGTTTATCTAAATATAAAGGATACTTAGAGGCTTCAAATAGAAGTGATAGGTTGTACAGTTTATCAGAAGAGCGATTCAAGGTCCTTGGGCCTCTTGTCTTTCATTCATTCAGTGTTAACAAAACATTAATAGGCCAAAGTAAAAAGAAACAACCCCCCCCCCCCCCCCCATTGTTTCCCCAACTGTGACCAACCAAACTAAATCATGAAAAGTTTTTTCTTTCAAATGTATTTAAATATTTTTTCCATTAATTCTATGAAGTCCAATTTTGAATAAATCAGTTTTTATCAGAATGGTTGCTTTTGTTCTACTAGAGTTTCAAGCATTTATTGGAAACCAAATGGCAGACACATAATCAGAGTCTGTTTTCCGAGAAAAAAAAAGGTTTGAATCATTAAATAAAGGCATTAAACGACTTTGTATGTTTTATACCCTGTAGGTAAAAATTAAAGCCTGCTTCATCAGGGACCAAACTAATGTACACACCAGTCAATATCAATGCATTGCATACAATTTGAGATTTGATTTAATTATCATTTCACCTATGTTCTTATGTTTGCTATGTATGACCATAGGAAGATTGTGAATACAAGTCTTTATGTACTTTATCCTGATGCATTTCATTGGATATTTCACATTGGATAAACTTTATGACCATTAATTGGGTGTTGTTCAATTTATTTGGTCACCTGAGTCACCTAGGTAACCTATTCCTATTTGTCTTTGTCTGTACATTGTGTGTCATCCATTAACATTTGAACATTTTGATTGATTGATTGTATGTTGTTTTACATCTCATTCTAGAATTTTTCACTGATATAGAGACATCACCATATACCGGTGAAGAGCTTCAAATTTAGACCTTTACTCGGCACTTGGGGCCAATGAGCAGTGAGGGATCTTTATCGTGCCAATGCCTGCCTTGACATGGGGCCTCGGTTTTTAAGGTCTCATCCAAAGGACCCGCAACTTTCACTTCAAAGTGCCGAGCCCTTGGCGAAGGAACAGTTGCTACCTATTTTTTATCGACGTAGGTCAGTTGCGGCCTTCCAATCATGGAACATTTTGAGCTTCTTCTCTAAAACTGCTGAACCAATTTCAATCAATTTTGGTAACTATTGGCATCTATTGGTAATGTATAAGGTAAAGATAACAAACAGTGATCAATCTCAAAAAAATCCATAAACAGTACAAATATGTGAAGAGGGATAAAACACAGACCCCTGGAAATTCCATGATGGGATCAGGTGCCTAGGAGGAGTAAGCATCCCCTGTTGACTGGTCACACCCGCCCTGAGCCCTATGTAAAAAGAAATGAAAATTGTGAAATTCAAGGTCCTTGAGCCTTATGGGTGGGGCTAAAACCAACAAAATTAATGTGATCTTTAAAAATCTTCTTTACTTCTGGAAATCAAGAGTCAGTTTGTTGGTATGATTGTAATAAGTATTGAGCCCTGGCCTCCACCCAAATTGTGAAATTCAGTGGAATCAGGGTCAGGAGTTCTGGTGTTAGGGTGGGGCAGAATATATAATACGATGATATAAAATAA